AGAAACCCCAACTCCCAACAAGAGAGAAGAAATAGAAACTTTGCAGAGAATTACCCAGCCACTGAATGACACAAAGGCAGAGAATTGACAGGAAACTTGTGTTTAACTTATCCAGTCTGGATCTGGCCTGAGGTTTGATTGCTGTTCCCATCACAAATCACAGAAAGGTGTTATAAATAGCAGCCAAACAAATTCCTTTTGGACTTTGGAATTAATTTGTCTGTTCAGGAGTGACTAACAGTTCAGCAAGATCGAGCTGTACTGGTGCTGGCCAGGAAAAATCAACTTCCTTCCCAGCTCCTCTCTATCACCTCCTGATTTTCCTGTAGCATTTTACAGCTCATATCTAATAACTTGAGACTGAGAGACCTTAAAGAACCTTGAAATCAGGGATAATCTTAAGATGTAGCTGTGTCCAGCTAGATGCTGAATTTAAGGGCAGTATGTAGACCAGCAGGATAGCATTTGCTATCAGACATTTTTGCTGTGTGCAGTGATGCTCCGCATGGTGTAAATCTCTGAAAAACACACACATCAAAGGACTTTTCTTTCTGGAATTTTTCTGGCTCCCCATTGAATACTTTAGCCTATTATTGCATATGTGCTTCAAAATATTTCTATCCAGTTACACTGACAAATCAAAAGAAGTTGAAACCATTTCAAGTCACCAATGAAGTTCCTAGAGCCATTTGAAGTGCTGGTGCACCAGCAATTACAGGGTGACTCATTCGTTTTCGTAGTTAATTCCTGTGCCAATTAGCTCATAAAGATAAGCAGAAAATAAATCAGGCCTTTGTGGCCTGTCCTCGCTCCCTGGATTCTCATTCTCTAGGAATGCCCCTAGGCAACCCCACCCTGACAGACGAGGGAGAGGGCTTATCTGGCTTAGCCCCCCTGCATGCACACAGCATCATCATTTTTTGGACCAATGTAGGTTAAAATCCTCATCTGATTTCCTTTCCTGCCCTTTTGTCCCCCTGCCTCCCCTTCATGTCCTCATTCTGTGTGTGTTGACGCCCCAGAGGTGTCCTCATGCGCAGCTGCAGGGCAGGGGCTGGAGAGATGGTGGTGAGCTGAGAGATGACACTGATGTGCCACCCTCTGCCAGGGCAGGGCTCTGCTGGCAGCACTGCTGTGATAGCTCTAATTAGCTGCATCCGCTGTGCACGAGGCACGGCGCGTTCACGGGCAGTGATTTGTGCTAAGAGGGATGGAGGGAGGTCAGGGAATTTTATCATCTGCCATGCCATAAACATGACTTGGCACACAGGGCTGGCTTCCTCCAGAGCATCGGCTAAGCACAGGCACGGCTGCCTCGCACAGCCTGTGGAGTCAGAGATTTCTGAAATCAGAGCTGTCAACTCATAGCTCTTGATTAGGGCTGAGATATAGGTTAATGAGGGGAGGCTTCTCTGAGAGCACTCAGATGCTGCAGGGAAGCTCTACCAGGAAGGGAACTGCTGCTGGATGTTGGAAGTTGTACAGAGATCCAGTACAGCCCATTCCAGTAAAGAAGTCTTGGCTAAGTCACACACCCTGATAGCTGTGACCAGCTCAGAGTACACTGAGGCAGAGAGTCTTGATATGTTGTGGCAGCCCTACACTCATCCTGCAACTGAATTTCATTAGACCTACACAGGAGCACAGGATGAGGTTCCTAAATTGTCAGCATCCAGACACTGAGGTGCCCTAACATCCCTAATGCTCTGAACACTCGTGCTGCATCCAAGATTTTGCAGGCTACCTCTATTACATAGCCATAAACTTAGACAAGACACTTCATTTGTAACATTAAAATAAATAGGGATTTCACTGAAACCCTTCAAGGGAAATTCTACTCCCAGGTGCATCAGGTGAAGTGAAATCTTTTGTCATTTACGGACCTGTGGAGACCTGTATGAGACCTGGAACAATGATGAACTGGAGGCATTTCAGTTCTTGCCTACATCAGTTTTACCACTCATTCATTAGCACAACACTGAAATAATTCACAGCTTTAGGACATTTAATAAAAAGAAGGAACCTGATGCTTGTGAGTGCTACCTAAAACCACTCAGAACCCTGTGGATGTACACCCAAATTTTAACATGTGTAAACAACACATGGCTTTGCCTGCACATTTACACAATATCACAGTATCTCTTTAGTATGTGCTGCCTGAGAGGGGATTGGAGGGGAGCAGACTGGCCTTAGCTGAGAAATCTTCAGCTGAAGATAGTGCCTTTCATCAGAGAAGAAGATGGGGAGTCTGAATTGGAGCTTGCAGGGCAGAGGCAAGAACAGAACAGTCAAATGGCATTTTAATGACATTTTAAAGTCATTAAAAAAAAAATTTTGCACTCAGCAAGGATATAGATGGGAGAAGGTCAGTCAGACGTGTAGATAGGAGGAGCTGGACTGAGGCAGTGTCCAGCTGCCCAGCTACATTTGTCTCAAATCATGAAGAATCCCCAAAATCTAAGTTTGGCACTGCTCTCCAGCAAGAAAATACCTGTGAAACTTGCTGGTAACCTGTGCACTCCATCAGTATGGATATATACATATATACACACATATATATTGATAAAGAAGAAAATCACACTTGGATGGAGGGTTTGGCACAGTCTTCTTTAAACCTGTGCTGTCTTTTTATAATGTAGCTATAATAATGTATTTTTATGGCAATGTAGTTAGCATGGTTTTAATAACAGCTTTTTCCTGCAAGGTACCAAATATTGTCTTGTTGCTTAAGCTGTTGCACTTCAGGATATTGTTCCCTTGCAGGGATAGGCCTTATTTTCCAAATACAGGCAGCATTTGGGGAGGAAAAATTTCAGTTTAATTTCCCTTGGATTGCCATTACACATGCATAAAAGAAAAGCTACTACAAAAATCAGCTGAAATGACGTAAAAGAACTGGAATTTTCCTGGCTACTGTATTGCTTCTGTTTTACACCTTAGCAATTTCTGTTGTGAATGATTAATTGAGGTTCAAGTCACTAGATGAGGCAAATGTGCTGATTCAAAACATTGCAAGAATGAAGGAGGAAATGAAAGAGAATAAGCATGGTAAGTATGCAAAACATTTTACAATGAGATTACTTCTGCCAGGTCAAGGCAGTAAAGTTTTACTAGCTTGTGCTACTTGCCTTTAACTGGAATGACGACTTGCAAAACCAACCTTGGAAATCTCTCTCTCTGCATATTCAGTTTAATGTGCAGATTCAGAATAACACAGGATCAGGTTTTTTTATGCTTTGGAGATAATTTGTATACCTGAAGTAACCAAAGTGAAACCTGCTGACAGAGGCAGATTTTTGAGTATTCACACTTTAAGGTATGAAGCAGTGGCTTACGTGTTCAGCCCGAGGACAGGAGGAAAATGTTGAATGTCTCTGGAAGATTCCCTAATTCCTACCTGAGCACCAATATCCAAGTGTTTCTTGTACTCCCACTGACTCCCTGGAAAGATTCCCCATCACCTCTCATCCTTCACAATAGGGAACTTCTTTCCAGAGCATATTTTCCATTCTTTTTAACCCCACCTGGCCCTGCAGGAGTGGAATTCAGAGTTTACTGATGGCACAGGCCATGCTTTGCAGGTGATAAATGTTTAAGGGCAACTTTACAGGTGAGAAGATCACTTCTCTTTGAGGTTGAGGAAGGAAAGACAGTGGGGGAAATAAATTTTACATTGCTGGCTTTTCTGGAGATTGGATAAGAAATATGCAAGCACAGAAGCTGGTGTCATTAGTCCTTGTGAGCAATCCTGGCTGCTCAGCTGTTTATTGACTTCTCATCAGGGCTCGTGGGAGTACATCTGGGAATCAGCTCCTCTGACCAAACCCAAGTTGTTATTTATGATAAAAAAAGAACATTGGTAAAGCTGGAAAATTCCTGAAGCATTGCTTAATTTTAAACCAAGATTTCCAAGAAGGTTTTTGAATTGAAAATATTGAAGGGCCTTGGCTGAATATATTGGAGAAGTCTTTCAATAAGAATAGTGAAGCTAGTGGATTTTGAAGAAAGGAATGTAAAAAAAGAGTAAATTAATTTGTGGCTATTGAAAGGAAAATTGAAAATATTAAATATTCTAAAATGTTTTAGTTCATAACTGAGCTATTTATTTTACTGTGATACATTCACATTGCTTAAGGTCACATTAAACAAAAGTGAAGTTTTCAGTTTGAAAAATATTAATGATAACTTCCACAGATTCAAATAAAAAAAACCCAACAAACCCAAACAGTTTAAAACAGATGGAGAACTGGCCCTTTCCTGAAACTGACTTTTGTATTGATGAATCTGCATATTCTGTGGAAAGGTTTAAAAATCTTCAACCACTTCTAGTCATGAAACACACAAGATTAAAAGCAATGTTAAATATCTATTAAATATCTATTTTCATTTTAGGATTTTTGTTGCTTATATTCTTCTTACTGAGACATATAACATCTTAAAAAATGATTGTGCCTCACAAGACTCAAGCACTTTGAATCAATTTGCACTTTTGAAATTTCAAGCTGTTGTATAGTTGATAAAATGAAAAGAAAATGTCATTCACATAAAATAAGACATTGTTTCTGTAATAATCAACATTATTTTGAGATGCAGCTTTCACCTTGGAAGGTAAGAATATTTTCCAACAAAGTATAACTTAAAGAATAATCATATTAAGCATATTTTAATGTAATGTTAATTTTCATTCTTTTTCAGAATTACATATTGACCATTACCTCATTTCTTTATCTGGAGAGCCAATAAATGACAAATGGGATGCATTTTTCATGACTCAGCATTTTGGTTATTTATTAAGTTAGCTCCAATATTTCAGTTACCTTATCAACTACGTGGGAAAAAAAATCAATATCTGATAGGGCATTGTGGTAAAGTACATAAGCATGAGGTTTGGGCTGCTCAGTCTCAGTTTGTAACTTCCAACCACCTGACTAAGAAGTGACATTTAAATCTTCCTCCTGTCCCTGTTATCTGATTTGCAGGAACCCAAGACTTAAGCAACCATGTCCAGCTCCAGCGAGGCAGAGCTCCTACACACATTTAAGGGGATTCCCTTTACCACCAGGTCTTCTCCAGAGCTTTTAAAATCCTTGGATACTTTTGATGCTAGAGAAGATGATGTCCTTTTGGTTTCCTATCCCAAATCTGGTAAATTCTAGTTTTTAATGTTAATTGCAAGAAGTCTTGATTTTGTGTTTTATGTTCTCTGCTTAAACTACTTGGGAAATGTCTGTGTGAAAGAAACAGGAAAGGATGTTTAAGTATGTGAATGTATTATTCTGTCAGTAAATGTTCGTATTACAAGAAATATGGGTCATTTCCCTATATTTTGATTCTGTAATTGAAAATAATCACAGGTGTTTTCATGTTGGAAAACAAATGTATATTCCTTACCTTACAGATCAGAATCTGTACTTGAAAGATTTTTTTTGAGAATTTTTTACATTCAATTATGAGCAAGTCAAGAATTGTATGAAGTTATTTGTGTGTTTCTTGGCTGTAGATTTATTAATTTCTTACCCTCTCTCCACCCACCTCTCTTGGTCAGAGGAGCATGCATTCAGGGGAAGCTCAATCAATACTTTCAGAAATATACAGACTCAAGTTACTGCAAGGAAAAAAAACCCAAACAAATAGTTTATGCTAAAATAAATTATAAAAACAATAGAGCCACCTCTCAGCTGACAGCAGTTTGTCTAATGGGATGGTTTTGGTACCAATATTAACATTGCAATTCAGATACAGCCCTAAATTTTTCAGTGTTTATATATTTAGAGCCAAGGGGATCATTTAGTCATGTAAAGTTTCTTGAATCAGTGGGATTAGAAATCTAACTTGTTCACTAGCAAGGTGTTTCTATATGAAAAATGCATGTTTCACAGTATTAAATATTAATACTTTTCTTTTTCTTGTTTGTTGTTTTGTTTACTTAAAATTACTTTTCTGTAGGCACTCACTGGCTTGCAGGAGTTCTGGCAAAGCTTTACAATACTCAAGTCACAATAACATCTCCTATTGAATTTGGAGATATTTCTCGACTGGAGGAGCTGAATAAACTCTCATCAAAGAGAATCATCCCAACACACTTAGACTACAACATGTTGCCTCCAAATTTTAAGAAAAAGAAATGCAAGGTAAGGCAAAAAATATATCAAAGCAGTAAATAGAAAGTCTACTAGGTATCTGTTTTGTCCTGTTAATCCTTAGTAATTTTTGAATGATTCACAGTTTTTAGAAGTGTTTTGCTGTGAATTTTGGTGACACAAAGTTGAAGGTGCTCCCATGGAGTGATTTTTACACCAGGCACCACACAAAATAAGACATCAACATCTTTTAATCAGAAGTCTCTCATTAGTAACTGGGGTGTTCTCATTACCTCAATTTTCCTACACTCTTAGAAAATCTTGGCTACTTACAGGCTGCTCTGGGATTAAAGGTGCTCTGACCCTCCTTCTGGAGCTTTCTGAAGAGCCCATAAAGGTATTGGGCAAACAGAGGAGAAATGAGATGAGGGAGGCAGATTCAGAGCACAGTTTTGAGTTCATAGAATCACAGAATCACCTGGATTGGAAGAAATCTTAAATATAATCTTGTTCCAACCCCCATGCCATGAGCAGGGACACCTACTAAACCAGTTTCTCCCATGCTAATGTGGGAGATCTTTAAAAAATAAGCTCTGGGTCTCAGATTTTGTATTCAAAGTCAAAAATTTCAGGATCCGTCAGACCCAGACTTTTGGGACGAAGCTGATTTGAATGAAAGGCCAAAATTTACATTTTACAGCTGTCCTTTGAATGTTAAATAGTAAATGCTTTCATATGTGAGATATATGAGATAATATAGTGACTCAAGGTTAAAGTTAACACAGGCTCTTTCATAAAACATAAACATTACCCAGCTGGGGCAAAAACACCTCTGTCCACATGGAATTGTTTACTAATCATGAGGGATTCCTTACTAAGAAGAGATTTCTGATTTAATGGCATGGTCACCGAAGGAGGAATCCTAAAGGAAAGGGTTTTGACACTGCAAACTGCCTGTGACAATGCTCTATTTACACACAGGGCTCCTCTAAAATAAAGGGAGGATATATCATTAATAACTACATTTTCTTCATTTACAGATGATCTACATCAGCAGAAATCCAAAAGACACTGCAGTTTCCATGTTTCATTACTACAGGGATAACCCAAACCTTCCCACCGTAGACACCTGGACTGCTTTCTTTGACCTGTTCTTAAAAGGCAATGGTAAGGATAAATGTTTTCTCCTTGCAGTTCACGTGAGTTTGTTATGCACAGAAAAACTTAAGTAATTTGAACTGTGTGAAAACTCCTTATTGAACTCCTTATTCATATGGGGTTGGTGGGGATAAATCCTAATGCCAAGCTAAACAAGAGCAAATAATAGGATGCTCTCTTCAGCCCTGCAAGGAATCATTCTGAGAAGCAGCTGCATCATTCCAGCACAGCCCTTTGCAGGGTTTTGCTGCTTTTTGCTACCCTGGGTGAGCAGGGCCATGGCTGGTGACAGAGCATGGGAGGGGACTGTCATCAGGCTGCAGGGACAGCTCTGACTGCAGGTCTGGTGTCTTCTCCAGGCTGGGAGAGAGCCCTGGGCAGCCCAGCAAGGGAGCCTGCTGTTCCTAAAGCCCTTCTGCACACACTCTCCCTAAGTGCATACACTCTTCTGCTGTCTCAGAAATGGGGTCCAAAGACCAAGGACAAGAGGGAGATTTTTTAGGAGTGGTGGGATGGCAGCTGGCAACAGGACCTTGTTCACGTTGTCCACTCCCATATTTAGTGTTTTATTACTCCTTTGAGGACATGTGTCACCACAGTGGTGATAACAGCAATAATGATTGATCACCTTGAAAACCCCGAAAGAAAAGTACCGCTGCAGTCATCACAGGCTCCTATCAGAGCTCCAGGAGTCGATTTGTTTACTGACTCCTCCAGGCTTTGGCTCAGATCTGGTGTTCTGAGTCCAAAGCAGCCCTAAGGCTCATGCTTCAGTGATTTGCAGGATCTTGGCTCATTTTGTATCAACTCAGAATGTACAATAGTGCAAAAAAGGAAAGAGGATTCTATTCAAGGCCAGGTTGGATGGAGCTCTGAGCAACCTTCTCTGGTGGAATGTGTCCCTGCCCATGGCAGTTGGAACTAAATACTAAATTATTTTTAAGGTCTCTTCCAATCTGAAGCATTCTGTGCTTCAATTATTAAATTTTTAAAGCATCTCCTATTTCCCCATAAATTATTAGCCACCTTCTATTTTCCAAGTGCTTCTGTGTGGCATAAATAGATAACTATGTTGGTTAAAGAGAAATTTAGGTAAGAGGTGATGTAGAGGGAAAGGTGGTAATTTTTGCTCCCAGAAGAAATATTTCAAGGTTGCGCTGCTTGATCCAAATCCTGCAGTACTCTTGCAGAATTAGTATCAGTTCAAAACAAGGGTTAGGACACACAGGGACAAGTGTAATGAATTCCATGGAGTCTCTAAGTCTCTCCTGAAGCCACCAGGACTGTGCTATCACTGGCCACATCCCCAGAGTAGCTGGCCAGGGAAGCAGATTGCACACTGTGGAGCACACATGCCTTGCACATAGAAACTGCTTTATGTGCTGGAGACAGCTCCAGACTGGAACATTCAGCTTAATTATAGCTATTAACTATAATTTATACTTAATTACAACTCACAGTTTGTGACCAAAATGATGCCCATTACAAGATTAGAATTTTCTGGTGGTATTGGTTGTAAAGCAAAGTGACATTTCTGGCTGAGACTGGCTGGCTGAGCTTTCCCTGTTCAGGCCTCTTCTCATTGCCCTGCAAGAGGTTTTCAACTTGCCTTTGAAATGGAGAGGTCAGAATTTTGGTTTTTAAAAGAAATCTGAAATTTAGCTGTGTTCCCATGGTTTAGCAAATGGGGCATTCAGACAAAACAAATCAGCTACAAACCCTTCTACCTGTGTCACCGGCTGAATGAGGCATTTGCGTGAGTTCTTTAAGCAATTCTTCTTCAGCATTTAAAAACTATACAGATTCCCTTCTGCTGGGATGAAAGAGAAGTAAACACAGTGTGCTCCATTTGCCAGCCTGTTCATTTCATCCCCTGCTGAGGTGATCATATCTCTGTGACCACAGACAGGCAGTCAGTAATCTGTGAGATGTTCACATCTTGTTAGGCCGGTACATTTTACTTCATTATTGGCTTTGCCTTAGATCTGGAGCTTGCTTCCACTACAGAATCATATCTCAGAATAGTATCTGGTATGAAAACAAATTCCAACAAGAATGGAAACCTCTTTGGAAGTTACTTCTGTAAATTTGCATCACTTGACACAAAGAACTGAGGATTATAGAGGATTATGGATAAAAATTATTCCCCTAAATGTGTGAGGTAGCATCACAGTTATTTATGAATAAAGTTTTTCCGAATGTCTTTTGCATGGGTTTTCCTTTCAGTTGTCTGTGGATCCTGGTTTGATCATTTCCTAAGCTGGGAAGAACATGAAGATGAGAACAACATCCTCTTTCTGTTCTATGAAGATATGAAGAAGGTAAATATTCTCTCTGCTTTTGGTGCAAAAGGCATTACTTGTAAATTAGCATCATTAAAACATCAAAGAGGAAGTTATAATGAAAAAGGAGAAAGACAGAAAATGTGAATATGTATCTTTGGGCATATTTTTATTTGTATGGAATTTAGTATTAATTAAATAATTCTGACTACACAATGTATATAAATATCAAATTTTGGGAGAGATGCATTTCTTAGATGCAGGAATGGGACTCATACTAGACAATTTTCCTCAGGCTCAGGCAGAATTTTAAGTACCCCTTTTTTGTCCTATGGAAAGACCAACCAAGGACATTTATTGAGGACCACACATTAATTAGCTATGTCTGACATTTCAGGTGAAATTTTCAAAAGGTGATGTAAGACAACAGAACTACTCACATTTGGGACTTGTGTTCCCAATTAAAAAAAAATTAGAGACCGGAGCATTAGGGAAAAACTTCACTGTTCTTAAAAAGGAAAAAGTAAAAGATCTACATACCTTAGCTTTCAGAGGATGAATTTTTAGGTGAATAGAACACACTTTCTAATATCTCCATGAAAATAGGTTTGTTCAATTTTGAAGGGGAAAAAATTCAACTACTAGGAATATAAGCAAACCATTTTGGATGCTGAGTCACTGGTTATATATCTAGATATAGCACATCAAGTGAAATTCGCTACATGGACCTGGACTTTGAGTATTCCTCTGTTTCCAGGGAAGAAATTCTGAGAGACAAGAGAATATTTTATCTGAAGTTTGGGGTAAAATTGACAATGTGACTGTGTGTGATATGACATACTCTGTATTTATTAATTTCTGTGAGTATGGCTAAGAGGGGAATCAGGTCTACTGTACCTGTCATCTGCACAATCCAATGACATATTTAGCTTTGCTTGAAAGCAAATAAATGTGTGACAAACTCATTATGTAATAAAAGGGATCATTTTCAAATCAGTTAAAAGTTTGATAATCAGCCAAAAGTTTGATAATCAGCCAAAAGTTTGATAATCAGCCCAGAAACATAAAAGCTATATTTTTCTTATACCTCAGGATCTCCCTAAGGTTGTAAAGGAAATCTGTTTGTTCCTGAGTTTAAATGTCAGTGACAATGATATCCAAGACATCTGCAGGAAGTCCTCATTCTTAGAGATGAAGAATGACACAGAAAAGGAGAACAGCGACCCCAGTCACACTGTGTGTGCCCTGACATCCAACAGGAAGCTGATTTTCCGAAAAGGTAAATTCCTTTGTGCCTAACACGGCAGAAGGAGTGGGAATCCAGACAAAGACTGCAGTGCAGATCTTTCCTGGAGTCTTTGGGTCAGCCCTGGGAAGTGATGGCAGGTTTCTTCGATCTGAAGCCCACTTAAAAATCACTTCCTAACTTCTCTGGCTGCAAATTCAGACTTGTACTAGAGAAGCACAGAGGAGTCTGAACTACAGCCTGACTAATATTGATCTGTGAGAGCTGTTGAGCCAAAAGGAAAGGTTCACCCAGCATTACTCTTTATCTTTTTTTTTTTAATCTAACCTCAGTGTTTTACAACTTGTTTCTCTGATACCACCTGCCAAGGTCACTTAGTTGAGTAGAATAAGAAACTGCCAGACACATTCCTTCTGAATGAGACTGCTCTTATCACCTGTTATCTTACTGAAATATTCCTGAGGAAGGAATATTCTGGCAACAACAACAACAATAACAAAAGAATGGTCATAGGTAACTTCCAGACCTTTGGAAATTTTCCACAGTTCTTAGCTCACCTGTGATTTTAAAATACCCTCGGGAGCTGTTTTCTTGCTTCTGGCATTTCAGAAGCTTCCACAGGTTTGGATAACAAGTCAGTCAAACCCACTGGTTTTACATGAATTTTGATTATTTTGATTTAGTAAATTTTTGAACAACAATTGACAGTTTAAGAGTTGTTTCAGTTAATAAACAGAGAAATGTTGCCTCCCGTTAATTCACAATGGTTTTACCAGTCAGCAGAAACAAATGGTGACATATAATCTGTCAATAAAAAGAAACAAACAAAAAAAAGAGATGCATTTTTCTCAGTCAGTGAACTTTGATAGATATGATGAAAATTTAGAAAAATCCCAACATTTTCATTTCCAAGTAGTTCCTACACTAATCCCAGATGTTTAGCTAGTTTCAGGCAGTTTACAGAAGATTCATACGTATATATTATACTTCAGGCTCTCTTTTCCTGTCCTTTAAGACTGAATGCTATTTTAATCAGAAAATGTGATGATTATTTTAGTCAGTTTTGGGATGCAGAATATTTAGAGCATGAACATGGGGGGAAACTATAAGCATTGTCTCATAAAAATGTACCAGTTTAAAGAACAATTTCCTTTTTGCTTGATCTGGATAACAGTTTAAATACTTTTGTGCTCACCCGTGTGACCACCCAGAAGTATTTAACTGCCCACTTAAGTAGCTGGACATCTCATCCATAAAAATTCCCAGAATTTAGGAGCAGGTGTATGGGATTAATATGTCAGGCCATTCTGGGCTCCTTTTCTAGGAATCTTTTTTTGTCAGTGGCTTTTTGGCTACCACTTATTAAATAAGTTTAGATGGGGACTATGATTACCTGTAAAGGTCCCTTTCCCCCAAAAATGCTTTATGAATCTATGAATTTTTTGACTATTTACAAGACCATCCAGTAGAGTGACTCTGTACAAGGGCCTGGAGTGACAGGACAAGGGGGAATGGCTCCGAAGAGATCAAGGGGAGGGTTAGATTGGATATGAGGAAGAAATTCTTCCCTGTGAGGGTGGTGAGCCCCTGGCACAGGGTGCCCAGAGAAGCTGTGGCTTTCCCTGGATCTCTGGCAGTGTCCAAGGCCAGGTTGGATGGGGCTCAGAGCAGCCTGGGATAGTGGAAAGTGTCCCTGCCCATGGCAGGGGGGTTGGAACTGGATGTCAATAAGGTCCTTTCCATCCCAAACCATTTTGTGATTCTACAATTTCTTCTACTGTTTGTGAAAAAACCCAGGCAGAGACCTTTAACTACATTCAGCTAATGCATGGCAAGATGTCCCTCTGCCCAGAGCACTGGGAGCTCTAATTCCACCTTGGAAAGCTGCTGTTCTCCCCCCACCACTTGTGTTGCTGGCACTAATCAGCTCTGAGGATGAGGGTTCATGGATGATGATCCAGATCCTTCCACCAGAGTCTCACCAGAACAATTCTGATCCTGACCTGCCACAGTGACTGTGGTTAAGAATATATTAATATCTGTGCCAACTACAACATTAACAAAACCAGGCTGTTTTAAAGTCATTTTCTGCTCCACATATTGCTCACTTCACTGTTCTTTTTGTTCCTGCTTTCCTAGGTGCTGTTGGTGATTGGAAGAACTACTTCACTCCTAAGCAGAACATTAGGTTTCAGGAGATATTTAATGAGAAAATGAAACTCAGCAAGATGGCAGACAGTTTCATCTATGAGTGCTGAGTGCCCGTGAAGAATAATATCCAGTTATCAACAAACATACACAGACCAGTTGGTGGGAAGTTCTGAATGGCTGCTCCCATCAGTTTATAATGCTTCCAATAGGAAGGACTGTAAACATGGGGTTGTTGAGAGCAGGAAAGTTCTGACAGTGTCAGAATTGAACTCAGTTCTCAGAGGGCAGGTGTAAATGGTTTCACAGAGTCAGGTGTCAGACCTTGGTATGACAACCAAATCTATTTCATCATTTATTTATTTTCTTTGCTCCAAGGGGATATGAACAGACTTTATAAGCCTGAATTAGGGATTTTACCCAAGATAGTATGAAGAGAAAAACAAAAAACGAACTTGCAAGAAACTGTATGTATAAGAAATCGAAAAACACATTGTAGGAAAGTTACCAAAAATTTGACCCCAGAGTTACTCCTGTGATACACCATGATTTGGAAGTGCCTATCTTATTGGACATTGTTATTGATAATTAAGTTGAAAACTGCAGCATTTGAAGATCTGAAGTCTGTTTACAAAAGTCTTTTTTTTTCTTTTCTTTTCTAACACTATATAGTTCTCTGATGTAACTTATTTCTGGATTAGGTACCAGAGAGTCTTTGTGTTTTAAATGCAACTGATACAAATCCAAATAAATTTCAGCACCTCATGTTGAGCAACTGTAAATGTGTTTATTTTCCATTTTATTTTCTTCCTGCAAAATTCCTGTTTCCAGTGTTTTGATGAGAATTATTTTACTTCCCCCTCCTTGAGCAACAAAACCAAACCACAACTTGGAGACAGCTTGATCCAAACAGCACTTATTTATTTGCTCTGCCCTGATAAAACAGGTTTTTCAAGAATCAGCTGTCTATGTCCACAACCCAGGGACTGTTCTGCCCAACCACACAGTTCTAAGGCAGAACACAGCTCCTGTGTGTGAGAGAAGCTCCTCTCCTGGGTGTGTTGTTTCTGAGGTACAGAAACAACCTTGTTTCATCAACACGCATCTCCCTTCAGCCACACACTTCACACTTGCCAGGCAGCCATTTAACTTAACTTAATTTAATTTAATTTAATTTAATTTAATTTCATTTCATTTCATTTCATTTCATTTCATTTAACTTCATTTCATTTCATTTCATTTCATACCTGCTTTGTGCAAACTGGCATCAACGCCTACTGATTTTGCACAAAGACACAGAAGTTATGGTGCTGAGAAGAGCAGGAAAATAGCCTGTATGCAGTCCTTTGCCATTTACCAGTTGAACACAACCTTAGGGAGATGATGCCCTGGTCTATACAAATAACCATTTGATGTGTTACTTTGCTTTTCTGACATTAAAATCACTCACTCTTCCCCCAGAATGCCACTGTTGCCCTCCTTTCAGGTGCCATTCTTCCACTTTTAATAAGTGGCAAGAGATCAGCTAATGAATGTAATTGAACATTTTACTTTGAGACTTGTTTTTTTCTGGCCCTTTGAGTATGGGAAAAAAGCCAGGGAGCCCTTGGGGAAATGAGGTTTGCAATTGAGTTTAGCTGCACTAAGACTGCTGTGAGCAGCCTTTGCACCACACATTATATGCACATACAAAAAGGATTGTTTACATCAACATCGTACTCACAACGTGGAACTGTGTGTGAAGGGACAGGATGAGGACTTGCCTTGTGGATCGAGATAAGCTTGGTAAACTATTTAAACCTACCCTTCAGCCAGGGAGGTAACACTGTGCTGCTCAAAGTGCAGTCAGTTCCCCAGCTGCTTCAGGGGGGATGAGGAATAAATCAGTTTACAGCATGGCCTGTTGCTGGCTAAATTAAGGATTTACCTAGATTAAAATTTAAAAAAAAAGAAAAAAAAAAAAAAAAAAAAAAAAAAAAAAAAAAAAAAAAAAAAAAAAAAAAAAAAAAAAAAAAAAAAAAGAAAAAAAGTTCAGAAATGACTGCAGCCTGGCTGGAGCAGCCCAGGCTCGAGCTCCCTTGCTGCTCAGAGGCACTGGGCCAGTTTGCTTTCCACATTGCCATGCACTGCCTGCAAGTTTACCCCAAAAATCCCCTAAAAACCCCTTGACTTCCATAATAAATCAAACGTATGCTTTGTTTGAGCAAAGTGCTCCAATGATGGGGCAAGCCAAGAGCTGGGCCTGTTGGTGAATTATCGGAACTACTGCCAATAAAATCTGTTCAGACTCTGGGCAGAGATAAGTACAACTCCTTAAGGTCCTTTAAGAGGCAGCATTCGGAGAATGGAATTGATCCAAAGGTAGATCATGATACTCAGGAAAACTTAAAGTTCATTAAGTGACACGACCGGGAGCGTTTTATGTTTGTGTAAGCCGGGTAAAGGGCCGTGAGGGGAATGAGGAGGAGCCGAGGCCGCTGGGGTCTGTTCGGCTGGAGGCGGCCGAGGGGAGAGCTCGCTGCTCCCTGCGAGGGACGAGGGGCAGCCCCGGCCTCTGGGACAGAGCCAGGGCACGGCTGGAGCCGTGCCAGGACAGGGCTAGGGTGGATTCGGGAAAGGTTCTTCCCTCAGAAGGTGTCGGGCACTGAGCAGGCTCCCGGGGAATGGCCACAGCCCCAAGGCTGCCCGGAGCACTTGGCAGCGCTCTCAGGGCTGCACAGGGCGGGGTTGTTGGGGGGTCCGTGCACGGCCAGCTGGACTCCTGATCCTGGGGGGTCCCTTCCAACTCAGCTCACTCTGTGATCCTGAGGTATTTCATCCCCTTTTCAAGCTTTTTAGACTAAGATTTACCTGATGAATAGGAACGCTGCTGCTGGGCCTTGCCGCTCAGAAGGATCAGTGAGTGGTGACTGATCCCCTCCCAGCCTGAGTCTGAGCTGCTGTGGACAAAGTGTAACCAGGAAATAAAAGGTGGGACAGTACAAACAAAATCCCACACGGACTGTACTAGCCATAAACAGGTGTACAACTATACCCTCAGTTAAAAGTGATACTCCTGGAGAGAATATCACCATGTTTAATACAAGAGTAGCCATAACTAGTCCAGATATGTTTCAATTCGGAGCAGGAACTTGTCTGCAAAGCATGTGAACAATCGGGAAAAACGTGGCATTTTCCAGCATGCTCTCCAAACCTCTGAGTACATTTTGGCCAAGAAATTTCACAGCAATTTACTCTATCTCTGACTACAGATAATAATGACTATTGATTCATCCAAGGTACCTGTACTCTTACATAATTCTGTGTGTACTTTTGCCCTATTTTCCATAATTTTTTAAGATTAGATTACTCCTATTAATGATAGTAATGCCATGTACTTCTGCCCACTGTGTCAGAGCTACACACTGACGTGGAATGAACCACTAACATACATTGTGAAAAAAAAAAAAAAAAAAATGCAGTTGGGTATTTCCTACACAAGAAATAGGAGGAAGAATCCAAGGTTCAGAACCAGAACTGAATCAAATGTCAGATTTATGAAACATGGCCCAAATCTGTTTTAAGTATTCTGAAGTTCATTAAACGTCTGTAATCTGTGTCCAACTTCGGAAATCCATGAGCTGCAAATGTGCTGAGGCCACAGAAAAACTGGAAAGCACCACTAAATACTTGGTAAATTTATATTCCTCAGGCACCTGTTTTGATCACTGCTAGCTTCTTCAGTGGCCTTTCCATGGCTTCCCGTCTTTAATTTGACAGATATTTTAACACAACTCCCTTCCATCCAAAGTGAAGGATCCTTCTTCCAAAGTGTAAAATTCTGGTTTGGCTACTGCTGCCACTGAACCTGATTCTTGTTTTCTACCATCCATTTTATTCTCCCACAACCCTTTGGAATGCTACAGCCATTTCAACACAAAATAAACAAAATATGCATTATTCAAGATACATACAAATCACTGAATTATACAGTGGATTAATTATTTTTATCCTATTTGCTATATATTATTTTTCTAATAATTTCTGCTTTTTCAACTGCTAGCACACACTTCAAACCACTAGACAATTTTCTGAATTATAATTGCTCTGTGAAAATGGATACTGTAATATGTATGACATTAGTACTGTTTTTCAGTTAAACTCATTTTATATATAATCTCCAGTTTCACCAGGCCCTCTCTTTACTAATCTGAATAATTTGGTATCATTACCTTCACATTGCTCATTGCTCATTCTCTTTCCTGCCTCCCTCACAGCAGGTGGAATGCTCTATTAAACCAGAGCCACATCCATCCATAAACATATCTAGAATCAGAAATGGGGGTAGACCAACCTGTTCCAGAAGGAGAGAAACAAACCCAAAATCCAAAGATTTTTCAGACAAGTGTATTACTGGTAAATTTTTCTACTCTATTTATGCATCAGGTTCACACATAATGGTGTTTTTCTTCTGTACAGCCTTACTGTTTTTGTAATGGTAACAATTAGGATGATTGGTCCTGCTGGGCGGAATTAAACTTATTTAGACTTATTTCTGCAGAAGGTAAATAGTGTTTTAAGACCACACTGACAGAAAAAAAATAATTAAAACCAAAAACCTTCCTCCACACAGGCTATGGAAAAACTAGCTACTTAAAATGTGTGCTCTAGGTTTAACAGTCTTAAAAACTTGAAATCAGCAAGTATTAAAACATATCTCTGTCTTCAAAAAGCTAAAATATATGTGATTCATATTGATTTGAAATTACTTAAGGTCAGAACTTGTTGCATCACCAAAAAGGAACTGGAGATGAAGACAAACTGAATAGGAGAAAAAACAGATAAAAATAAATAATTGGAGTCAGAAGTAGGTGAAGGTGTGAAAAATTAATTTGGGCATTAAATCTGTCCACCTTTGCAATCATAAATCATTTATGTGGCACATGAACTTGGGAGTGTATGATTTGCAGTACAGAAACTCACCACAAGCCAGCCCATAACCATTCTCTACTTAAAAGACTAAAGAAAGCTGTTTATTTAAAATTTGAGGTAATCGGCTGTTTTTTCATAATACCTTATTACAAATATTTACATAGTTTCCTGGTTTTCCATTTCACATAATCATGACAAGATAGCCCACATTATCTAAGATTGTCTTTGGAATACTCAAGTTAATTGAAGCAAAAAACAAGTGCTCACATGGCCAAAAGATGATCTCAAAATTAGCCCAGAACAACAAA